ATTCTCCAACATGCCCTTTAGATAGGTCTTGCTATCCTCCTTGACTCCTTTCTACAAGAAAATCAGAGACATCTTGCCGTCGATGTGATTGCCCCCAAAAACCATCAACGGCTTGGGTTGTCCAGATCGCTGAGCAATCCCTCCATGTTGGCTGGCTTTTGTAGAGCTTCCCGCCATCATCCTATCGTTTTGGGTGTTCAGGAATTGATCTGTTCAAAACAGGCATTCGTCAATGAAAAAGATGTCGCTGTGCCGTGCCTGCGAAAATCGCTTTAAAAGCAGCCCTAAATCTTTTGAGCCTAGTTTTCTTCATACTCTTAGTTAGCATGTAAGCTTTTCTGATCTTATAAGAGCGAATGGAACGTGGCCGGTGACAATCCTTCCGACAGATCAAGCAGAAATTTCGACCTCAAGAGCCGTTTATCTCTCGGACCTACGAAGGTGGCGGCGAATCTTCTCTCGAATGATTCTAACGATTTCCTTTGTCGTTGCACACTTCGGTCTTCCATTTTTAGGCTTGTCCTCCATAGTTCCTGTCGCCTTGAACCTGTTGACGTTGTTGTACACGGTTCTTAAGGGAATCTTTAGCTGTTTGAAGATGGTCTTTGCCGTGCATTCAGCCAGATGGAGGTGCAGGATGGAGGGTCGTTGGTCTTTGCTTGTTACCATTCTGTAAAATGGCATATTCAAGAACGGCCAGTTTATGGAATGTGTAGAAGAGGACTTGCAGTAAATAGTGATACAGATCCCGTCGGAGATCTAAAGCCTCATTTCTTATAAAGAACCTGAAACGGGTCTTTGCCACAACTTTTGCCGCACCCTGTACAATAGAGTAAAATGTGTACAAGTACACTGCGTCTCTTACGCGTTCCTCTTTCTAAATAAGGCAGGAAGGCCCGCTTAGAATTAAACCATTACAGTGTGTACCAGAAGTAGTGGACACCTGAAAAATTTTTTGAGGGTTTATTAGAAGACTGCTTCGCTATGTAGACTTTTCTTATTCACTTCCCTGAAGACGATAGACTACAATGACATGATGGATAATTAACAATGTTTCACTGGGACAAACTTTCTATGATAAACTTTTGGTTATCGTAGCAAAAATTTGTGAACACTTAGGCAACCTAAAACTTTGTATTACCAGTACCAGTCGACCATCGACTAACGTTCATTTTTTTGTTGTTCTATCAACACGCCTCTCCGTGGTGAAGTTTTTTCGCAAGTATAGCAACCCCACAGAGAGCTGTTCACGTCGCGGGACACTCCACTCGGGAAATAACTAGTTAGCGTAGGCGTTTCACACATGAGTCGAAGTGTCCAGAATCCTGACGCTCACTGCGAGTGTCGTCTTTGACCTTTAACTGCTCTTGGCATCAGAGCCGAGTTGTCTCGAGCTCTTCGTTATGTGCTAGTCAAGTTTACGTCCAAATGAACCTACTAATCTCGAGATTCTAGCGTTCCATCCAATGAAAAGAGCATTCAACACAGGGTATATTGAGGGGAACTTTGTATCTGATTGCTCAGCACAAGCCTGCAAGGGCGAAATTCTACCTCAAATACATGGCAGCTTTATGGGGAAAGAGTACCGTCATTGGCAAACGGTATTTTCAGTCGAGGTCATCTTCACTGGAAGGAAAACTCTAAACTTGGTGGTAAGGATGAATTTTGCTGTTATTGAAAGGACCTTCACCGCTTGTTTTGTTAAGGAGCAATTTCGCAAAAGATTCATTAGGGTCTGTAGTGGCTGTGAGAGCGCTGAAAAGCTGGAGCTTGCTTTTTTTTCATCTTGCCATATAAATTGTCTGGAGCATCGAAAAGTGCGCGTGCCTTGTCTCTTGCCATCACTCGCGATGCGCGACCGAACGCGATTTTTCGCAGCAGGGCAATGTCACGGTCCATGCTTCGTGTTCTACTCAGGAATGGTTTCAGCGTGTCGTAATGTTTTTAAAGTGGTGGCAGGCGTGTTTCACTGACAGCGACCCCATCAACAACTTACGCGAAGTTTTGGTTTGACGCATTTACCCTAACAGCCTGGAGTACAACTAAATTGGTCGGTTGACGGCGGCAATATTGTTTTCTTGGAAAGAAATCAGTGAGGGAACTATCGCTCACCTTATTCAGAGTGTGAAAGATAGAATGTTTGAACTGGTCAGAAACTCTCGTGGACCCATCGGTTCTTATCTGACTGTTGTGTATTGTGTCCGCATACTATTGATATAGGAGAGTTCTTCACATCGACTGAAGATTGCAAAGAACCTGCCCATATATGAGCAGCTTGGTACAACTCACCCTAATCGTTCAGAAAAACAAAACCACAAAATCTCTCTTGGTCAAGAATAATCCTCTTTTTATCGCTGAAAATTACTAAGGAAAGAAGCAACAGGGGAATAAAGAAAGAAAGGAACTATCTGCGATAAAATTCTGGATGACGTGGCTAACAAGGATCACATTATTCGGACCAATTAGATATAATGCTTGAAAGCTCACGTAAGGAAGAATTTATCGAAATTCTCGAACTTTTTATAATCCCTGTACTTCCTAAAAACCCTAAAAACGATCGAGAAGGGGTCAAGTTTTTTGTGTTTACTGTTTACTAGCACATCTTTAGCATAGTAATAAGGCAAACAAAAAAAGTGGATACAAAATATCACAATGTAGTTGTCAATTGTGGTAGCAGAATTTTCAGTGAAATACTTTTCAATAGAGTCTTCAACTCGCGCTCCGTTAACGACAGATGACAGACAATGTTTAGTAACAATAGACGAGTTCATGTGTCACTCCAATAAGGACCATTTGAGTTGTTTAAATCACCACAAATTTCGACGCATTCGCCGCGTCCATCTAGATTTCGGTGAATGTACCTTTGAATGTACCTTTGTGAATGTACCTTTGAATGTATTAGTTTTTTTGGACAGTAGGCATGTCCTTTACTGAGAAAGGCATATCGCTTACTGGGAAATCACTCATATTTGCCATTCTTCATGTTGAAAAGCCGTTGTTATTTGAGATTGGCGCATGGCCAAATTCAACCATTCCTAAGGAAATCGGTTTCGAAATGACCAGATCAACCTGAGAGATACCATAAACTACTTTTCATCTGAATTCGGAAAATGTTAGCTACTGCACAAATCACTGACTACTGACTAGAAGCGATGCCGTCTGGTTATAATCATAGCGGGCGTCGTAGCTCAGGAACTCAAAAAACCCGGGACTTTTCAAAATTTCGATTCACCATTTTGCAGAGCCCGGGGAGCTGAATTGGATCATATAGCATACTATATAAAAAAGTGAATGCCACCCTAGTTGCGAGAAAAAAGAAAAAAAGCGAGGTTGCGTTTCCCTCGTAATTTCTCGAACTATTAGGGTAGGCGTTGTAATGATGGAAATTCACATAGGAGAATATTGGTGATGGCGAGCAATGCAGCAAAAGTGGAAAGAACTTTCCATGCCAAAAATTTTATAGTGTCTACATATGTATGTGCACAGTGTACAGTAGCGCTCAAAAGTCTTCGGTGAAACGGTTCTTCAGCCAAACAATTCAGTTGTAACTCCTTTCCTACTGGATCTAATCATGCGAAATTTCTATATTTGGAGCGTTGGTGTATTGCGAATATTTACAAATATTAACCTGCAATCTGTTCATGTTCCAGATATTCCAAAGAGCATGAACTCAAAATCGACTAAAAATACAGATGATTGCCCTTCTAGAATCTCTTTCCTTTTCGTCATGTCTAAAGTATACGAGCGGTAACGCCGAACACAATAGATGAGAAAAACGCACATATGGTGCGAATAAGTGCAGACGTCAACAACTTTACTTTTAGCAAAATCTGCTATCGTAACAAACCCCTTGCTCTATCTGTAGATATTGAAGCTTCGCAGTCAAATAGTGTTGGGTAGGGTGAAATATGCTCTAGTTAAACATATCCAAATCTCTCGCGATTTGGTCGCGACTACTGACAAAAAAGTCATGAAAGAAAGAGAAAGTTGACTGAATAAAGAGCTGTACCATCTTGGCTGAGGCTATACCACACACCTTCAACCGAAACTCACACGATGCCAAGATTCATTGAAAGTCGTTCATGGTCGAAAGAAAGAGCGTCAAAGCATTTCACCGAAGACTTTTGAGCGCTACTGTATATGTGATGAACGCGTTCTCCCCCGTTCTCGATAACATCGTTGCAAATTGGACACCCTTTGATGCGATCGAAAAAATGGTGATCGAAAAAGTCGCACTCTCAGTTCGCAACCTGTACCGACCCCTTGCAAAAGGAAGCCTTTGGAGACGTTAAAGGCTCCTGGTCCCTGTAACCGACAATCACAACTGAGCCCACAACTGGGCGGCTCTGGCAGGCAGCCACAAGATTTTAGGAATTTCTTTCCGCGATGGATTCACCGCTTCTAGAGAAGTGGTGGGGAGTGGCGAACTAGGTTACCTACCACGTCTCTGTTGGAAATAATCACTGGTAGTTACTTTTCTAATGACCATTGGTCTTGACTACGACCCAATAGGGTATGTGCACAAAAATTCATGCACTACATTTTCCTACAGTTTGGTGGGTGAGTTTATAAGATTGATAGCAATCCTGCTGATGTGTGGCTGATTTCATTCTGTTCTGTTTATATTCAATGCATTTACTCATTCCCACTATGAACGCAAGGAACTTTCTAGATCAGTCTCAGTTAGCTAAAGAAATCACAGTATTGATGGGAGAGATCGAATGTGCGAATCAGCGCCTTGTCCGAATGGTCCGACAACGCTCCTACTATCGAGCAAAACAGGCAACGAAGTGCGCCATTCTGAGTGCGGTACTCATGGCCAACTCTTCGAAAACCAGTGAGTTTTTAGCCTTCAATCAGTATTTTCAAGCTTCTGATATGTTACTGCCTGAGAAGTGAGTTAAGGTGCGGACTCGCGATTGAGATTCAGCTTGGAACCGCCGTCGACCCGCGAAGGAATAGAAGAGTGGAAAAGGGCCATGAGAGTAATGGCACGTATAAGCGGTGGATTGCCAAGTCCTATTAGATGTAAGGTTAGTTTTTAATCCACTCTCCTTCACAATCCAGATTACGGAAGTCTACTCCATCGAAAGCGAAGCTGTGTGGCGCCGCGAAAAGCAACTTTATCAGCACCAACTTACTCCCCTACCTCCCTACCTCCCTACCTCCCGAAATCCCTACCTCAATATCATCCTAATTCAATACCTCACTACCTCCCCAACCTCTAATCCTCATTACCGTCCCTTCTCCCTACCTCTCCGCCTCTATACCTACCTGCCTCCCTTTCTCCCTAACCCCCAAACCCTTTATCCCCTTCCTACGCCCTTCTTTCCCTGCCATTGTAGCGTTGAGCAGTCATCAGTCATTGGCTGGATTTTTTGTTTTGCCTCTCACAAAAGATCTACTTTGCTCCTGATACATATTTGCGATGTAGGATTGGTAGGTCGTGGGCACTTTCCTGGCATAAATGTAGTTAAAAGATGGATGATATTGAAATTTCAACTCTTTTAACGGATGTTAGCCTAGAAATTATATGCTGGGATTCGATTGAGAACAAGAATCCTGCAAAGGGTGTTTGGAGGTATTTCGGCAATACTTAATCACATCGTCTTGAAGATTGCACCGACGCACGACCGATCGGATAGGTCTGCTCACTATGTGTAGAAAGAAGTGCAAGCAAAAGTTTGCCTTGTAGAGTTGGGTTCTTTCATGGACTGTTGGTGTTAAAAAATAACTCCGTCGTGCAAATCCAGAGCCCAAATATCCATTCGACAAGACAATGCTCTTGGCTGTGCTCTGAGACTCTTTCCTCAGCTCAGTATCGGATCAAACATCCTTTCCGACTCGAAACATATTGCTAACCACCACCTCTTCGGTTTTATAAGGTTGCCGATTGAGAGTAAACAATTATATTCTTGTTGATAAACAATTATATTCTTATTCCTGGAGTTGGATATTTGAAAAAGCACCGGTTTTACTCGGGCTTCTCTCGAGTGAACTTGATTTTTTATGACTACTGTTCAGGAGGTCGCAACAAAAGTTCATTTCTTCCTGAGTCGGACATATTATTATTCATTATTCAGCGTAGGATAATATAGGATTGGGCCGCGCTCCATGCTTCAAGCTCTGATGAAGGCTGGGCGAGGCTGCCTAAACGTTGGCCTAATGGAGGGTTTTCAATCTTGAAAGGCTATATAAATGACCTTCTGGCTCAATGGGGCCTTTGATCGCACAGCACTGGGCATTATTGATCATTGGGCTGTTGTTTGATTGTTCATAAATAGGCTGTCACAAAGGCCTGCCACCTGCACTCGAAGGTCCGTGCTCAGCTCAGCAGGCAGCGCCCAGTGGCATGAGAACATGCAATAACACCATATTCCGGTCAACAGACAGCCTTGGGAATATAGAGAATACCCTTCACGATAGTACCCTTCTATATACACTATTAGTGGGTGCGGGTTCGGACTCCGCCTACAGGCGGTGGGGTTTGTACGGAAGGTTATAGCTCCGGTCCCCTGGACCTAGAAAGTTCAAATTTGCTGGGATTACAGAGAACAGGTAGGAACACTGATGGCCACAGGGGGCGGGGTTTGCGCGAAAATTGTCAATTTGACCCTAGAGCGTTCAAATTCCGAAGGAGCACAGGTGACAGCAAGGGACCGAGGCGGGGTGTGCGCGAAAGTTGTCAGGCTGGCCCTAGGGCGTTCGAGCTCGGTAGGGCAATAGACGGCAGGATGGAAACACTTATGGTGGTTATCGGGACCAGACTCCGTCCTCAAGGGGCGGAGTAAAAATGGCTGGATGGGAACACTGGCGATGGAAGAGGCTTTAGAAAACAAGATCCACTCACCAATCAAGCTCGACGCCTTTGTTATTTACAATCTAGCTTTGACTATTTAATAGGTTCCATCGGATCCGACAAGAAGGGTAAATGCAGTGATAGAGACCGACTAAGAGTACTGACTTTTAAGGAGATAAGAACTGGTTCACTTCTTACTTTAGGTTAGGACAGCTACCTAGCAAAGTTTGCGACTCAATGAAGAATCACTGCTTCTCTTCGCTTCGATATCATTCTTGACAAAACTTATCCAACCGCTGATAATCTTGGATTCTCATCAATGGTATATATAATGGTATAAAGAAAGGAAGCTTTATCCATAAAGTTATTTGATAATGGTTACGGCTCGACAACATTTGTAGTTACCGTTCACGTTTGGTTGCTCACCGGTTCGGCCTTCAATGGGTCATTATTTTAAAGATGAACAGCAAGAGATTGAGTCTTTTAATCATACGCATAAGCATCGACTCATCTGAATACAACTTGCCTTATTAGCCTTCTGTTGAACTTCGTGTCCGAAAAGTATCATTTGTTCCAAATGAGGAGGGGATGATTTGCCGATTATTACAACTCTACCATAAGAGGGAGGAAAGCTCGGCGTCAGCCGGGAGGCTCGACTGGTTTGATAATATCGTATTTGTATAATACAAGTTAGGCATGATTGATTGAGAGTTACAGTTCTTTCAAAATATTGTACGCCTCATCTTATAAGTTGAGCTTAACGTTATCTACAGCCTGACCGAACATTTAGAAGGTGATCATCGCTATTTTCCCGCCCATAATCCGCCGTATATAATGACGATTCAGCTATTTTTTCTTCCTATTTTTCCATTGTGTACAGTGTAAACTAAGCAATAAAGTTTTAATCACCCAAATTCGAGGTATCCGCCCATTGAATCCTAAGATTCAGCGCACCGCATCGCCTACACCTATATTAGTTTTCTCTGATCCGGGGGAGACCGCTAACTCAACATATGGATAAGTGCTGCGGTAATTGCGGTAATATTCCATTACCATTATGTTAACATCAACATCCTCCCCTCTCCCCCCCCCCTGTCTCATCATGAACAACGAGAAAAGGGGAAGGAGCTGGAGTTGCAAAGAGCAAGGCCATTAGTCATTAAGATTATCTAACTTTGACAGATTGATTCCGTACAGGCACAAATAAGGGAGTAAAAGAGGTGGGATGAGTATGAGAGAGTGCAGTGGGAAGGATGCTCTATTAATGAGCATTGTGCTTAGCCTATTCTCGACTCCTAATACTCTCCTTTTCCTGGTTCAGGTAGGTCAAAGTGAGATGGGAACACTAGTTAATCTCAAGTAACGTAGATATTATCAGAATGACCAAGTACAGAAGTGAACGTATGAACGAATCAAGATTTCAAGCCAATGCAGAGGGAACTCAGGTATGCTCCGTCGAAGAAACGCTCTACACTACAAGTACTTCTACCGTTCCATATGCAATTTTTTGGTCCTGAGAGTAGCATACAGCTTCCGTTTTTGCGGATGGGAACTACATCCAGTGCCTGGGTCGGATCAGTCTGACACAGGATTTCCCTTTTTTGAATAAGGAAGCCATCTGATGAAGTAATTTCAGGTGTGGTCAGCACTAGGTGATTTGTACATAGCATCGGTTGGTTTCGACTGGGAAGAAGTTCGAAACAGCGTCTTCAGCGAAAAGGTTCAGCCGGATGATGTCAAAATCCATTCACAAATACTGAAGGTACGGCAGCCTTGTCTGTGTCAAAGTATGACTATGGCATGTAGTCCTAAATCGGAGCGGCATGTAGAGTGATATACCCTGTAATCGTCTTCAAGTTGACCTATTTTCTACACAGTTTCGCTTTTGATCGTGGTTTGAGATTTCCTATGTAATTTTGCCCCTCACAGCCGTAGCAAAGCTCAAGAAAATTGGGAACGACAGCTCAGAAGGCGGTATTTGGTCAGTTTATCAAGTATTAAAAAGAAAGAGGAACCGCACCTTCGTTCATGGAGAGCTAGGCCATCCTTCTTATCATTACATGGGCGAAATGCTCCCGTTCCACTGGCTATTTCGATGTTCAGCCCGAGTGACTGGATATTTCGGATAACAAATCTTCGTGCCAGCTTTCATTTGATTGTTGGTAAGTATGCTACGGATCTAACTCTTCTCTTCGTGGAGGGTTCTATCTCACTGGAGGGTCCCAGCCGTCTAGCAACGAGGCTACGTGGAGCGTCCCTAGGTGGCGGATAGGGGAGTAAATCGCCGACCAGAAGTCGCTGTACTTGCTCAGAGATACGGGTAGATTCAGGATATAGACTCTCTCTCCGCTATGCTCCGTTCGTTATACTTTCTGTATCTCGCAGATGTATCCACGCATACGCATCCGTTTGTAGAGTGTGCCGGTGCAGTTAGTATACTGACTATCGGCTCAGCTAATCGAGTGACTAGAAAGTACCCGCGAAGTGATTTGCGGCCGCTTTCGAAATTTCGCCCTGTGTTGGAGAGCCTGGCCATCTACCGCAGTCAATCCATTCCCCACATAGGGAGTGGCAATTAATTCGTGGGTACATACCATTTTGCCAAGGACAGAAATATAAATGGGCTTCATTCCCTTAAACATGCGGGAGCCCTCCATACGGCAGCGTTGGGTAGCATCGCTCGGGAGAGTCTGCTAAAATTCCAGGGTCAAATTAGGCTTCCACGAGGAGAAGGACTAAAATGGCGATCTGTAATTCCAATGCACGACCACTTGCACGGGAAGCGTGTATCGGAGATCTGATTATGCAAGCTAGGAAGATCAATTACGACATCATCGGACCGATCGAGACAAGAAGTGTGACCCGTTGCACGTCTTCTACGAAACTGGAGAAGAACTGTTCCTTGGAGCGTCGGCGGCGTAGGTGCCCTCGTCAATACGCACTTCACCATGAACATCGATACGTGTGAGCGTTTGACGTATCGAGCCGGACGTTCGCGAATGGAAAGTTGTGGCTCAACACCAATTTAATAATATTCGTTTGCCTGCGTACCAACATGAAGCTACGGAGAAGAGGAGCTGGAAGCGTTTGATATGGATTTGAAGAAACACTACAGAGAAGACCATACTTCCTTCAATCATCGTATGTGATTTCCCAGAAGAACGGCTTAGAAGCTTCACATCGGTACAGTGAATTCTTACACATACCACCGATGTCTCGAATCCTCGCGCCCTTACTTCTCCCAATTTCGAATGCTTCAGGCCAAAACTGTAGTTTTATTTCAATCCTGTGGGCACAGCATCGTCTTACACCTACCATCAGTATTCCCATCCTGCAGCCTGTATTTTATATAGAACGACTGATATGGATCAATATTCACAGTGAGAAGAAAACATTGGAGCAGAGGGGAGATGTGCAAGTCTTCATGAAAGTCTTAATTAATCTTCTTGGTCAACCATTATATCCTTTTTAAGGATCTCCACCGGACTGGATGGAGTGAGTTTGACGATGAGAAGAAACTCAAGCAAGTGCTGCTCGCATATGCTAGGTAATTCAAGTTTCTATCTTGAGAACCTCGTTTATTCGAGCTTTCAACCTTTAGGCAACACAATCGTCGTCATAAAGAGAGGTAGAACATTAGTATGAAGGGATTCGACATATTAGATCGAAGATAAGTCCTGCAACAATCTGAGCATGTTCTCCCTGGAAAAAACAGAAGCCCTTTCTGTTTTTGAGTCTGATCGCAGTGGAATGTTCCTGAAGGATGGATAATAATGATAATCATATGATGGATTGAAGGTTTTGTTCAATCAAAATATAGAATTAAAGAGTTTCTCCAAGGTGTTGCAAGACTTATCTTCCAACCTAATGCAAAATGATCAGTCACTGGCAGCCCGATCCGTCAGCGACTCGCGTTCTTAATTTTTGTTGCGTTCATATTCTCGTAAATTTTCTTCCACATTTCATATACCACCTAACATGAGGAAGAATCTGCGAGAGGAATGCTACCGGCTGCCATCCGAAATTCCGAGGGCCTAACACGAAACTTTTGAGGGTTTAAGCATTCATTAAAATTTGTATGGCAAGCAACCCTGAATACTTAGTGATGACCATTCAACCACTAGACAAGAAAAGAGTGACGTTCACTTGGCGCTGACGATTCATCCTACTTTCGTAGAGTCCCAGTCTCTAATACGTGCAAGAAGGGCCGCAGTGTTGAAAAGGTGATCTCGGAGCCAGGCGCTTTTCTTCTTCACTACTCGATCGATGTTCTGAAGTGCTCCCCACGCCACGCGTATCCTTTTGCTCAGCTCTGGTGCATCATGTTAACTTTTCGGTCTAGATGCATGTGGCTGAAACATCCGAGATGTTCGTTCCGTTCGGTGTAAGTAAAGGAACATCAGGTACCGATCTGCTTTGCATGAACATTCTTCGTTAGGTTCAATATCGAACACATCTTTCTACAAGCACTGTCGGATTCAACCACCATTCGTTCCGTCTGCTCGATGTACGGTTTTATAGGCACGATTTCATCTGCAAAGCGGAGAAGGTAAGGGTAGCGGTCATCGATCTCCAGTTCTTCGCCTTCCCATTCCATACGACGCATGATGTTCTCCAAAGCGGGGTACCTGAAAATGTCGTCTATCGGACTTTATCAGCTGTTATTATTATCCGTCACCATAAGCGATCCAGCTCCGATTTACATCAGATGGAAATATCTAGAGTAGGGATCTGATAACTTTTGCATTTCAGCCTCTAATATCACTCCTCGTAAGCTGTGATCAAGTCTATCCCTTTCAAACGCTAATCTACCCCCACACACTCCATCGCCCAAAAAACTTTCAAGGACCTTCGTCGACACGAAGCTTTTGCTTCTTTTTTGCTTTTTGAGGTCATTTATCAGACGTTATCTGTTATCATCGGTTTTGAACGGTATAGGTTCGAAAAAGAAGAGGTAGGAACCTAATGTTAGAGCTTTACTGACATCAAAGCAGTCATGTCCACACGTACAAACAACACTTCAATACAACAGCGAATTAAATATATGTAGTAGGATAGATAACAAGCTCGCGTAAAAGATTCAAAAAATTGGGAGTATTTATGTTCAAATTACTTTGCGGTAGGTGGTCACTGACTATAAGACAATTTCTGCACGCTTCTCTATGAAAATATAGGACAGAGAGAAAAGCAAGAATGTATCTCCTCGCCCAAAAGGAAGGCGATACGATTACCTTTGAGTTGACATCGAGCCTGGATCCCTCAGTAAGGATATAGAGATCCCGTGCCCTTTGTTTGATATTCTTTAAGAATGCATACAACGCTGATTACCTAGAAAATTTTGTAGAGTCAACAATAATAAGCCAAGAGTTTAATTGAGATTGAGACTTTGATGAGAGTTTAATGACTATGACGATGTTAGCTTGATGAAGAGGTGCGTCGTAGAGATTGTATGCTCACCAGGGAAGGATCCCAAGTCGAAGTGGCCATTTGAAACGAGACCTACACTGCTAGACGTATTTTTGGATGCTGAGTTCAAATCTGCTTTCCAAATTTGCCGAGC